GCCGCTCCTCCCCCACCCCACTGCCCTTTCCCTAATGAGGGAAGTAGTTGAGAAAATAAATAAATAAATAAATAAATAAGCTACTATGTCAGGTAGTGCTGGTTTCCATGGAGAAGACTACCTAGGATAGGGGCGGATGCTTTCTCTAAAGGTTCCTTAGGGAGGGGCTGGTAATGCTGACCTGGAGGAAGTAAGCCTGGCCAAGTGTTCCAGGCAGAGGGGACTGTGCCTGAAGGGTCTACAGGTGAGCGTGCACCCTGGCCTGCTGGTCCAGGGCACACAGAGAACTTGCTCCGTGAAGGATGCCATTACTAAAGGAACATGAGGAGCTGTAGTCTGGTACTGACACCCTACTGATGGCCTGTGCTGGGCAAAGTACAGGGAATTCAGGGTAGCTTCCTCTTCCCAATTGCCAGGACCAGGTCTGGCTTTGTACTTCCTGGTATTTCCTATATTCCTGGCTTAGGACTAACCACTAGTTTGTGCTTTCCAGATCAAACTAAAGCCTTCTTAGACATTGCCTGAAACCTGTTTTGCTGACTTGGCTGGGTGGGTAAATGTCCAGCAGAAAATGTGTCCTTTCACAGCACATTTGATAGTAAACTCCAATCTACTCCTTTCTTCCTTAGCACCGCTATGTCTGGTGGCTCACTATACTACTATCCTCTCAAAGACATCTTATTTTTTCATTATTGCCTCTACACTCCCTTACAAAGGGGCTGCTCCACCCTGTCCTACAGTCCTGGGACTGTGGGATTGGTCAAGCTGACTAATAGTCTGGGAGGTGACTCCCCCCCTTCCGCCTTCCTGCCTGCCTGTGGCTCTGGCACTAATACCCTCACCGCACATACAAGACTCTGAGGCTCAGAGAAGGATGTCATCTGCTCAGCCTTTTGAGGTCAGGTCCTTGGGTGTTTGCTTCCTGAGGAGCCCCTGGTGCCCTTGGGGGACTCCTGCTAAAACCAGGACTAGGGGAGCAGCCCAAGATTTTGATCAGAAGTCTCCCTCCCTGCAATTCCTGGACGGAGTATGCTGGGGGCCGGAGGGGGATGGGCTGGATGCTTTGAGGAGGGGAGGGGAGGGGAGGAGAGGCAGAGAAGAAGGGAGGAGGGGAGCCTGGCCTCTAGCAGCTGTGTGAGGAACACCGAAATAGAGCTGCTAGAGCTGCAAACTGGCCAGAGGAAACAGGATCCCTTGGCATCCTGGGCAAGTGTAGCCTCCTGGGTTGAGCTCATGGACCTGAATCCTTCTCCTTTATCTGTCACCTTCTGGAGGTCTGGCTTCCTCAAAACTAGTCCCAGGGCCCAGGATTTCTGCTGCCCCAGTTTCTGGCAGTTGAAAGAGGAAGGAGACACCTAGGTTTGGAATTCACTTCTTCCTTCCTCCTCTGACCTCACCTGCCTGTTCTTTAGTTCTTCATCTGTACTGGCGGTCCCTGGGGGGAGTTGGGGGGGGGATGGACAACCCCTGGGAGTCATGTTCCCTTGGAGAACTGCAGAGTAAACTGCACGTTCTGCAGGGGACCCATGGTGATCAGGCCAGATCAGGGGAAGGCAAACCTGAGCAGCCTAGGAGCTCAGAGGGGATCTTTTTTCTGGAGGGAGGTACTATCTACCCAGCTGGGATCTGAAAGAATTAACAGGAGTTGGGGTGGTGAAGAAGCCCCAGGCAGAGGATATCACTAAGTGGAAGCTCTTTGGGGGAGGAAGGCATTTGGTCTGGTTTAGTACCCAGTACCCAGTGTGACCCAGTGCCTAGGACAGGGTTTGGTGCATAGTAGATGTTTTGGTACATAGTAGAGGTTCAATATAACAGATCCTAAAGAAAGAGAACAAAAAAAGAAAAGGAGGAATGGAGGAAGGAAAAGAATGGGGGAAGGTGATCTAGGTCTAGGTGGAAGTGGGAAGTGGCTTGGTGCTCCAGGGATCTCAAAGTACTGTAGTTCCAGGTGGCTAAAGCTCCCTTGGGTGGGGCTGAGCCCTGGGAGTGGCTTTATCTAATCCCATGGGGGGGGGTGGATAGTGTCGGTTTCTTATCTCCCCGTGGGGCTTGAGTGACTTTGGGGATGGGGCATTTTTTACTTTTCTATCCTGGGTCCCCTGGTGCTTGTATGGAAGTCTGTGTGCACACAAGGACAGAACCCGTGCTGGGTGTGGGAGACACACAGATGACTCACTCAGATCCTGCCTCCTGTCTAGTGGGAGAGACAGACAGCAAACAAGGGTCTACACAATGGAATGGGGAATTCCTGTGCAGGTTCAAGCAAATCACACTAAAGCCCAGGTGACCAAGAAATGGGGTTGGCTCTGGGCAGGTTTCAGAAGGAGATGCCCGTGAGGGTAAGATGGTGTTGTCGTTAGCCTTGAAGAATGGAAAGAGAAGGAGGTTGGTAGGGGAGACATTCCAGACAGAGAAATCTGCATGGAAGATAGGGTCAAGTCCCAGGGAGGTGGGGTCTGGGACCCAGTGAACAATGGTAGGCTGGGGGTCTTCCTTAAAGGCCATCCAAGGGTGTTTGGTCTGCCTCTGCTCTAAACACCTTTTGGATCTAACCACCTTTTTGGAGTTGTTGAGTGGTCCTGCTTCCACGGAACCCCTCAGTTACTTCTGGTCACAAGCAGGAGGACAAAGACACCTCCCTGCTCTCCCTGCCTGGTTAGTCCCACCATCTCTTTTAGCTTCACCAAGAATGCATCAACCCTGTGCAGCCACATTTTGTGGCAGACCACAGGGACTGGTCCCCTGGCACAGGGTTCCAGAACCCTGTTCTCCTGATGCCATGCCCTGGAAGAAGGAGCCAGTCCTTTTGCAGAGGGTGGAGAGAAAGAAGCAAGAAGAGGAATCTTAGTTTGGTAGAACATCAGTCTAAGAAGAAAGAGCAAAATATCTGTCTTTTCTGACAGGCAAGGAAATGAATGTGAAAGTGGCCTATGCTCTGCTTGGGTCCCTGAGGCTGACAGGGCATTGCCAGCTGAAGTGGGTAGAGAAGGGCAGTGCTTCCCTAAGCCAGGACCCAACCAGTCCTCATAGTCTGTGGGCCCTGCAGACTCCAATGAGTCAGGCATCTTGTGAGTCAGTCTGTTGACAAACCATTCCTGGCCATTCTTTGCCCATCAAAAATAGAAGGAAGTCCAGGGAAGGGTATGAGCAGACCAATTTAATTAGTGTGGGCTCTAAGGTACCTTAAGTTAGTCCTATTAAATTAAACCGCCTAGGGGAAAAATATAACTGTAATTATTTCCTCCTCTCCCCACCATGTATTTTTATCTCCAATCTCCAAGCATCTTCTCTCATTGACAAAACAACCCCTTTAAACTTAGGGGTAGCAGGACACCCCAAACTAGGGCTCAGTGTCTCCTTTTTCTGCCCCTTTTCCCTGTGAGCTCTAGGTCCCAGCAGAGAGCAGAGTGAATCCAGAGGTGTCCGCGGAGCCTGGCTGTATTCTAATTTAGGGAGGCTGTTAGACGGAGCAGAATATTATTCCAAAAATGCACCCTGAGTCTCCTTCCTGAACCAATGCAGATCCGTTTGCTGCGGGGCATTTCTTTTAAAAGCCCCTTTCCTCTCTTCTACACAGCAAAATAAGCAAACTTTAATGGTAGGGAATTATTGTTTATTTTGTTGAAATCTAGTCCTGAGTTTTCCTACTTGAAACGTGTTTTCCCCAGGACACTGACCTATCCTTTAATTGTTTGGTGCGAGGCATGTTAGGGGGAGGGGCGTTACTTGTTTATTGGAACAGCGCAGTTAAAAAAAAAAATCAACCTAGGCTAACAGTTTCAAGGCTCCCCTAAAGATGTATCCAAACAGGCAGCCAATCAGCGCTTACACAGCTTTTTCTGCTTGACTCTTTTAAAGAGACAGTGCCAACAGTGTTTTATCACATTTAAAGAGAACAGCGCTCTAAAAACAGTCTGAAAATGGGGGAACCTTCCTCTATTTTTTTTTTGCCAGTTTCGGGTCTTAAGAATATCCAAGGAGGGGTACATAGGGTGTTTGTGGGGTTCTTTGCCAAGGTAGAAAAGAGTCAGAAGCAAATAGCTGGGTCACTCTGCCAGCATCCTCCCCCCCCTTTCCTATTGTACACCTGGGTCACTGACAATGGAAGCTTCCCCTCCCCCCCACGCCCGACTTTCGTCCCCCCTCCCCAATTTAAGCTCCATTTATTTGAAGTTTGCCGATCGCTGCGGCGGGCATTCAGAGGCGCGGGGCATCCAGGTGACGCCCCCTCCCCCCCGCGGAACTGCACCCTTTTCCGTGGAGGTGCCCAGGGGCTAACTTGCCAGGGCTAGCAGACCTTGGAAATTTGGGAGATATCACTCTCCCTTCTCTAAGCTCAAGTCCCCCGATCCTTTCCTATGGCTCCCCAAAGCACGCTAGGGGCCATTTTCGCGCGGCTCCACTTTGGGGTTTTCCAAAGTATTTAATGATCTAGTAAAGGAGCAACCGCGCACCTCGGCGCCGACTCCAGCCGCCCAGCTCAGCGTGGAGCCCGAGCCGGCGCACCGGGGAAGCTAAGCTGGGCGCGGAGAGGCCCGGGGCGGGGCGCAGGGCCCGAGTCTGGGGAGGGGTCCGGGTCGGAGTCGAGGGGGAGGGCAAGATAAGGGCTGGGCGGGCGCGAGCCGCAGGGGCGGCCAGGCGATAAGCGAGAGGGACCCGCAGGAGGGGAAGGGACGCTCCGCCTGGGGTCCGAGCCGCCTCCCACGGACGCAGCCGAAGCGCCCCGGCCCCAGCCGTGCGCGCCGCGGGAGCGCTGGCCAAGCCCCCTATTCTGGAGCCGGAGCCCTGAGGGCCCCCGCCCCATCCCAGAGCCGGGGCTCGCCCCCTGCAGCCGCGGCCAGCGCCGGAGCGGGCAGCGGCTGGCGGAGGCGGCGCAGCGGGACTGCCGCGGCTGCGCTGACAGGCGTCCCTCCCGGCCGCCGGGCCCGTCCCCGCGCGCCGATTGTCCTTGGCGGCCGTCCGTCGCGGGGCGTGGACGCCTGTCGCGCTCCTGCCGGGGCAGCCACGTTCTGTTGAGCTCCAAGTAGACCAGCGTCGGTTGCGGCGGCTGCTGCAGCTGTGCCGGAGGCGCAGAGGGCGGCGCAGGCGGAGCCGATCTTTTGGCGCGCGGGGAGCGAGCGAGCGAACGAGCGAGCGGCGGGCATCCGGGCGGGCGGCGGCGCAGCGCAGCCCGAGCCGCGCGGGAGGAGTTCCAGGGAGATGGGGCCGCGGCCGGGGCTGACGCTTTGACAGCTGGAAAGAGCGCGGAGCCAGCGCCGGGGAGGGAGGGAGCGCGGCGAGCCGAGCGCGAGCGAGCGGGCGAGCGCCGGGAGGGGGCCGGGAGCAGGGCTGCTCGGGAGACCGGACGGTAGCGGCGGCGGCGGCGGCGGCGGCGGGGTTCGACGCCCTCTTCTCTACAAACCATGTTTGCCAAAGGCAAAGGCTCGGCGGTGCCCTCGGACGGGCAGGCTCGGGAAAAGTAAGCCTCGCGGAGTGGCGGCCGCGCGCCCCGGGCTGCGGGCGGTGGGAGGCAGGTGGGCGGGCGAGGGGCCGGGGTCGCTCACCTCCGGCAGCCCCCGGGGCTCCGCGCGCCTGCCGGGCCCCTTCTCCGCGGCCGTGGCGGCGGCGTGGGGGAGCCCATTGTTGGGAGTCGGCGGAGGCTGGGGCACAACCGGGGAAAGGGACGACGGGGGGCAGCCAGCCTCCGGCGAGCGGCACTTGGTGGCTTCGGGGCGAGCCGGGAGCGGGGGGTTCCGTGGCGGCGCGAGGGGTGGGCGAGGTCCCGCCGCGAGCCGGTGCGCTCGCCCCGGCCCGGCCGCACTTTGCCCACCGGGCGCGGACAGGGGGCGCGTGGCTTCTGCAGCCCCGAAGGCTCCTTTTGTCCGCCCGCGGCGTGAGGAGTGCGTGCCGGGGGCTTTGTTCGGCCGGGAGCGCTCTCCCTTCTCTGTCCGCGGCCTCGCTGCCGGCTCCGCGCCCTCTGGGGCGCCCGACTGGGCAGGGAAGGCGGCGCCGGCTCGGCCCCACGCTTGGGGGGACAGTTGTTTGAGGGGAGGTGTGGAGGGCGGCGCTTTGCTGCCCTCTCCAGAGCGCGCCGGTCACCCAGACCCGGGCAGAATCTGTTTCGGACCCCCAAGCGGGATGAACGTGGCCAGGGAGAGTAGATCAGGAAAAGGAGGGTGGCTCTGGGCTCCGGTGGTGTGTGAGTTTGAGAGACCTAGGGTGGTGGGTTTGGCCCAAACGCTGCCTGGAAGTTCAAGTTTGGGGGTTCTCCCACTTTCCAGCCCCAGGGCAGTAGGTCCCTGGTACCCACCCCCTAACTGTTCACTCCAAGGCCATGCCTGGGGTGAGAGCCGCTCACCTCTGCCCACGGCTACAATGGGACTGTGAAGATGGGGCTCTGAGCCTGCTGGCAAGGGCCAGAGAGAGTCCCAGTGTGATCTGACCCTCTCTTCTCTCTCTCCCCTTCCCCTCCTCTCTCTCTCTCTCTCTCTCACCCACTTGCCAGGTTAGCTTTATACGTCTACGAATATTTACTGCACGTAGGAGCACAGAAATCTGCACAGACCTTCTTATCAGAGGTGAGTGGGCACCCCCAGCATCCAGTTTCTTGACACCCCTTCCTCCCCACTATTCTTAGAGCCTTTGTTTTCAGGAGCAGTCACTGTGGCCACCATTTTGAATTTTTATCACCTTTTGGCATTTATTGTTAGTTGGTCTTCACAGCCTTTTGGCTCCAGGAAGCCCCTGCCTGCCTGTCCCTCCTCTCTGTCCGTCTAAGCTAGCTCTGTGCTCCCTCTGTTCCAGATTCGATGGGAAAAAAACATCACGCTGGGAGAACCTCCTGGGTTTCTGCACTCGTGGTGGTGGTAAGTTGTGTGATAGTTTTGTGTGTGTGTTTTGTTCTGAGCCCTGGGTCCAAGTGAACAAAGACAGGAGACCTGGAGCAGCCCTTCACCCTTAGCTTCAGCTGTGCACCTATATCAGAACTGGCCAAGGAGGAAAAGGACCAAACACTGCTGCCTGAAGTTTTTCCTTGGTGTTTCTTCTTCTGTGGAAAAACCAAGGAAACCTTACAGGGCGAGGGTAGAAACTTGTTACTTTTCTGTTTCACTCTGGGGCACTAGGCAGGAGCTTGGAAAAAAAAAAACTAGAAGGGTTTTTGTCAATCCTGCATGCTGCTTTAATTAGAGAGAGTGGGGGCAGGGCAAAGTGAAGGGGACACCAGGTCTGTTCTGCTACTGGCCTGTCCCTTCCTCTTTCTTCTATAAGCTTCAGATCTTGAGAACATGTAGTAGTGGACCTGTTCCAGGGACCCACAGAAAAAGCAAGAAAGCGATGCATTTCCTGTAGAGATACTGATTCACACTGACTGGACTTTCCTTTCCCCTGTGCTCCCCAACCCCAGCATCCCTGAAACCACAAAGCTTAATATTACCTAGAACCTCAACTGGTTATAGTAGGCCTGGCAGGGTGCCTGCAGCTGTCCTCAGGGGCTCTCCCTGTCTCCCTCTCTCCTCTCTCCCCTCTCCCCTCTCCCCTCTCCCTCTTGTTATGTGTGACCCTCTCCAGGTTTAACCAGCAGGCAGGAGGGAGGCTCTCTCAGGGCCCAAGCAAGACAATGAGTTGTCATGAGGATATGATGTGGGTATTTTGTGGGACTGATAGGTGAAGTCTTTCACATCCTTTTGAAAGGGAGAACAAGACAGGGTAGCTTTTAATAATTTTGGAGGAGTGCAGGAGAATGGAGTGTCATGTGTTGGGATCTTGGGATCTTAGCACCTTAGCACATTTACCTGACCACTAGCTCAGGTTACTGTTTCAGGTCTCTTTGAACAATGGGAGGATGAAGTGTCTGTTCTAACTTGTGCAGAGAAAATGAGTTTTTAATTACTTCTGCCAACCTTCCAACTGCCTGGTTGGAGGCGTCTAGTGTGGCGCAAGGATTCCACCTGCGAGAGTGGGTGATAGGTTGGCTGTGGCTTTTTTTAGAGGCAAGTTGTGGATGAGGTTGGCAGGTCTGATTGCCCTGGATTGTGAAGAAACTTGGGTTCATTATGAGTGAAAGTTTCTTAGAAGGGACTGGAATTTCCTGTGTGGAGAGGTTGATCCAGTGTGTAGCTCTGAAGACAGGAGGAACATTCCTCAGGTCCCGGTTTGCAGTCAGGCAAGCTCCTGGGTTTTTTTTTTTTTTTTGCATCGAGTCCTCTGCAGCCTCTCCATCGTTGTACCTGGAGCGTGGGGTTGGTTGTACTGAGCTCAGGTTGTGGTGGATCTGAGTAGTTGAGGTCTGGTGTGTTAGAAGTTACTGAGTATGACTTGACACTGAACAAATGACTGAGGCTTTCTAAAGCTGGAGGAGACACTGGAGCCGATCTTATGCTGATGGGCAGGCTGCATTATTCACACACCTTGAGTGAGCTACTTGTGTGATGACTGGAGCTGGTATGGTTCAACCAGGAGAACTTCTCACATGTCAGACCACAGTTCCAGGTCCCATTGTGCCCTTCAAACTGGGTCTGTCTGGACCTTAATGTCTGGTTTGGGGTGTTCCTATGTTTGTATAATTCTTTTCTGGGTTGGTAAAGGACTTGTGTGTATAGTGTTACCAACAGTATTGGAATGACCACATGGACTCTCACAGTACAGAGGCTGGGGTGCCATTTCTGGGTCCCCTGTCACCTCACCACTCTTCACTGGATGAGTGCTTTCTAAAAAGATCCTTGTGCCTTGTTTAACAAGGAGGGACAAGAGGCTGTCCACAGCCTCTCCTGTGGCTAATTGCTTTGTGTTCTTTGGTGGGTGGGTGGGGGTGCAGGTTCTGGGATTAAGAACCTGTAAGATTTCCTTTATTGCCAGAGTGGCCCACATTGCTGTGCCTATGAATCATAGCTGTGTTTTATAACATGTAGCCATTTGGGTTTGGGGGTGGCATGAGATAGGTGTGGATTCTCCTCTGCATTAACACCTGTGATCCATGGGTGTGTGGTGTGAATCCTTACAAACCTCAGTGGCCTTGTATATGAAGCATGTAAATCAGGGAGAGGATCCTCTTACAATATTGACTGTGAGAAGTATCTAGCACAGAATAGGTGTTTGGTAGATACAAACTGTTGTTCTTATTACAAACACCTGGCTTGTCAGAAGAGGTTGGATTTGCTTTGTTTTTTAAACTGAGTTTGCCTAGTGAAAACCTTGGGAAACCTGGTGCTGTTAGCACCATGAATTGTGCACTTGCTGAATGTATACAAGTAATAATTAGTAACCTGATCTTATTTTATTTTCTGACTTACAGCGTATTTTGGGACCTTTACTGTGCAGCTCCTGAAAGGAGAGACACTTGTGAACATTCAAGTGAAGCAAAAGCCTTTCATGATTATGTGAGTAACAAATTTTTAATCCTGGCAATAATTACAGGGTTGGATAGCTCTACCTTCTTTAGTACCGAAAGCATCTACACAGCCAATTGGCAATGGTCTTTATTTTCTCCTTGCCTTTCTTTCTGTTCTCCTGCTCACCTACCTCCCTGTTACCCACCCCTCTGGACCCTCCTGATGAAGGATTTTTAACTTGAGGAATGGTATTTTACAATGCTACCATTATGCAAAAGAGTATAGATACATATCTGGAGAATTAAGTGGTGTTTGCAGAGCTTAGACTCATGTAAGGTTTGTATTCAGTGTTGACAGTTAGCCGGGAAGGAACTGAACCTGTTTGGTGTTGACTTAAGGGTAAAAAATGTGGATACAACCAAGAAGTAAAAAGCAAATGTGAAAACTGTTTTTTGGAATAGAAGGGATAATTGAGTGAGAAATTTGGTAGAATGAACTCTAGCTCTGTCTTCTAGAAAGTGGTCTTTCAAGTTATAGTATGGGGAGGGAAGCTGTTGTATTTAATAGGATGATAGGTATGCTGAGATACTGAGCTTATTGGTGATCCTCTGCCCCAAATATTCTAGTGAAAGTGTGTTAATTTCATCGGACTTTAGTGCTTTTTGCTCTTTCACTTTCTACCTGGATACATGTCTTAAGACTTATGAAATTATTCTCCAGACAAATAACGTATGAAACTATTTGTCTGCCATGTCTTCCATCTCCCACACCAATTTCCTGCGAAATAAAGGGGGAAGGCAGCTTTGAACCTGGGATGTGTGATCAGACTTTATGATCTATTGAAGCAGGTTGGGCTCTGTTGAAAGATGGGAAGAGAAGTGTCTGCAGGTCTTGTATGGCTCCTTTCAGTTCTTCTTGTTGGCCCTAGAGAGTTGAGTCTGTATTGAGTTTATATGTGTGTGTGTGTCACACATAATTGTGTGTGCACATAGTAGATGAGCCATTTGGTCTTGCTTTTCAGTAGCAGGTGGGTAGGAATGGTTCTCATGCTATGGTTATGGAAGTTGGTTCTTGGACATTGTCAAGTCCCACTTTCTTGGCCAGGCTATCCAAGTCCTCTGCATGCTGTTTGAAACTGGCTTGGGAGACCAGATCGCATCTGGGTGAATTTTATAAGTTGTCAGAATCAGTGTTTTGGATATAGTAAAAGTATATCCTGTGGTAGAAGTTAAGAGACTGAAAGGGAAGTTCACTGAGTTTGAGCCTGTTTGGTATGATGGACTTTTTTTTTTTTTTTTTGGCCAGTCCAGAGCTTGGAACTCAGGGCCTGGGTGCTTTCCTGGACCTCTTTGTGCTTAAGGATAGCACTCTACCACTCGGGCCACAGTGCTACTTCTGGCTTTTTTGAGTAGTTTATTAGAGATCGGAGTCTCGTGGACTTTCCTGCCTGGGATGGCTTTGAACTGCCATCGTCAGATCTCAGCCTCTGAGTAGCTTGGATTACAGGCATGAGCCACCAGCGCCCAACTTATGATGGACTTGTTATGACTAAAAAGTTAATATGTCCTTGGAGTGGAAATGGACCAGTTCTTGTATCCTCTCCAGGGTTTAGAAGGAAGAAGCTGGTAACTAGTACTTCTTGCCTGATGAACTTATAAGTAAAAGGGAGAGGTGATTGGTTCGCTGTTATTTGATTCTCCTGGGATCCCATAGTGATGATCATAGCGTTTTCTGAACTGGAACTTGGGGGAAGCTAAGAGATACAGCATCCATGTAAAAATACTCAGTGAATTTGACCTTCTACAAAAAATCTTGCTTGTTTGTTTGTTTTAAAGACCTATGAACAGTCAGTCCTATATTGCTCCTGTCTACTTGGCAAATGGTTTCATTTGGGTGGAGTTTCAATCCAGCCAGTCTCCCTGTATCACTCAGCCCCCAGCAGTACTAGAAATTAAACCCACGAGTGACAGGCAGACACTCTATCATGGAACTCCTCCTTCCAAACCCCTCAAGCCAATCTCTTGATGTCGGATCTGTGTAATCTTTTACCTTTCAGAGTTGTTACTGGTACCTTTGAACCAAGTTTGTTATTCTACAGTGATATGAGAGTTTCTGGGTAGTCTGTGGTTTGGTCTCCTGTCCTTGCACAGCATGGCAATATGCTGTTCTGAAGCTTACACATGTGTTGCTGCCAATGATGTGTTAAGGAATGGCAGTAGACTTGTGCAGATTGCTGAGGCTAGTGTGACGTTGAGAAGATGATGCTCAGAGATGAGGTCACATTGAGTGAGGCCTGTGACTCATAGATCTGAGGATCAAGCCCTCTTCTCCTAGATTTGGATCCATCTGGTGTCCTGCAGCCAGAGTCAAGTCACAGTGGGGAGAAATAGGGTGATTCATTTGGATTGGCAGAATTAAGAGGTGGCATTGTGTTACAGGGGTGGTAGCAGAGAAGCAACTGGAAAATAAATACATGTTGCTAGAATTATAACTTCTCACTAACCTCCCTTCCTCTACAGTACATCTCTCTCTGTCCACTCAAATCTTAATCTAATTTTTAAGTTCTCCCTGGAGGACTTCACTGTGTTGTTTCTCTAGGTCCTCCTACCTCAGTCTTTTGAGTAGATGGGATTATGTGACTCATAGTGCTGGCTTTAAGAGGACTTTTCTGGTGATTTTCTGCACATGGTAGTCACTCTATTTCATTGTCCATAAAAGCTCTTTCTACTATATCAACTTCCTGGGCTTTGTGCTAACTGCTATGGGTTCAGTCCCTCATTTCATTCTGCCAGTGACCCTGTAAGGAAGCACATTGCTGGCTCCATTTTGCAGATGGAGAAACTGAGGAAGAGAGAAATAACCATAGTGATAGAACAGGGTAGTCACAAGTCATGACTGACCCAAGTCTGTTTCTGATCTCTTTTGGTTGGGCTCCAGGGGTCCATGGTAGGCATTGCTTTTCTGTATTCTTCTGGCTAACTTCTTTCAGTTTGCCTTTCAGTTGCAGCTTATTAATTTTTTCCATGGCAGAGGCCATGTGCTATTTCTCTCACTAGCTCCTGTAGTTTCTTTTACATAGTAGGAAGACATGCTAATGGACTGAATGAGTTAAGGGTAAAGAGCACAGGTGATTTGGGCTTAGAGAATTACAAGGTATTTCTTCAGTGACTTGAATTGTGTGTGGTCTTTAATATGACAGCTTTAACATCAGTTAACTAGTTGTTTTAAGTCCTAAAATAAATCACATGGATTGTGAATATGAGTGTTGCCCCCCCCCCCCTTTTGGTAGGGGCCATAATGAGAATTGAACTCAGGGGGCATTGTACCTGCTGGCCCCGCATTTTACCACTTGAACCATGCCTTCTCGCCTCATAAGTAAGAGTGCTAAATGGCCTAGTATTTTCTGTCAGGGAAAATTGAAGATTCTCATTGGTGAGCTTGTGCAGCCTGATCTCAGACATAGTCTTTTGTGGGTAATGAATCCCTCGTTTAGAGAGGTGGAGGGAGGGCCTTAGTTCCTATGTGTTCAAAAGGATCTCAGATGGAAGGTCCCTGTCCTGACTTGTATAGGAATGATAATCACGATTTGGGAAAGTCCTCTCTTTTCCTGATGGTGGATTCAGAGGTCAGGTGATCTCACAGGTCCCTCCTAGGTCAAGGCTAAGACTGATGGGGCCAGGAGTGAACCAGGAGACTTAGCAGAGAGAGCATTTGAACTGTTCTTGACTTGGTGAGTTTTTATCTGAGTCAGTGTCTATTTTCCCCCATCACACCTGGCCACTGGGTTTTCTTGGCTCTCATTTTTCACCAGCCCTAGAGCCTTAGAATTAGCCAATGGTAACATGGTGCACTGAGGACTTAGTACTATGGTGGACTTTTCTGAGAAATGAGTTTGCCTTATATCAGAAGAGCACCTGAGACCGCAGAAGGACTGCCGGCTGTCTTGTGTGGTTTCCTTGCTGTTCCTCTCAGGCTGGGCATCCTTTTCAGTGTGGAGGAAAGCCCCACTGGGTCCCACTGGGGGTCCTTTTGGGTTCTCTGGCATGTTGGTCTGGTCTGTCCTTTGTTGAATAGGCACTCTCAGCACAAGAGTGTGTCATACTGTAGGCCTGGGCTGTCTGACTACTTTCTCCCCTTGGAGCTCCCCAGGGTGGAGCTTTGGGTGGGTGGAAGTGTCTTCTGGTATCTTTCTAGATACTGCCAATGCTTTCTACCTCTGGGAGCTGGTTGTGTGTTTTCCCTCTGGTGGCAGGAGATGCTTAGAGTGAGTGAGCCCTACAATGTGGCTTTTGAATCGAAGGTGCTGAAGATCACTGGCTTTCTGGAACACACTTAAATCATTGTTCTTGGGCCTCACCGCTGCCTGGCTTATAGATGAAGAAACTGAGGCTTGTCCAAGGACAAGGAGCTTAGGAGATGGCAGGCTAGGACTACAACCTTCTTCTTTCCATTTTACTACTCTGCTTTTGACAACCCTCATCTGGTAGCAGCTCCTTGCAAATAGAGGGAGCATGTTTGCTTAGACTCCGAGTAGGCCTGGTACCTGCTCAGTGCCACTTCTGTTCACAGAAGAAATGTCTGTAACAGAATGAAAGTGAAGCCCCTGGGAAGTGAGTTACCAAGTCACCGGCAGAGGTGAGACCTGACCCCTGGAAGGGGATCTGTTATGGTGCAGTGGTTCTTGGCTTTGGCAGGAGAAATGTGATAAAAGCTGTGGGCTTTCTTTCCAGAAAATGCATGTGTCCTCATGAAGGAGACTTTGTACGTGATTCTGGGAGGTTCCTGCACTGTTGCTCCTCAAACTCCATTTCCCCTGGGATTCCCAGTGAAGAACTTGGGGAGTATAATGGACAGGGAGGCCCGTGACCTCATCCAGTTTCCCCTGCTTGCCCTGGTTTGCTGCTCTGAAGCCCCCTTTATGCTGGGTTCACCTCTCCCTCCACCCCTGGCTGGGAGACTTCATCTCTGAGAAGATTAGTTAAGGAAGAAAGGACCCCAGAGTTGTGGGCGTGGGCAGGAGCTGAGGTATTTGTGGCTAGGTGGCAGGG